ATTTTATGGTCCAAGAAGCCAGCTCAGTGGGAGGGATGGAGAAGATAAATGGTAACAGATCCATGAGTTTAGTAGTGATTTCAGAGAACATGGCATAGTCCTTAAAATAAAATTAATCTTAATTCTGCCTAATTTAAAAATAAATGTGCCATAAACCATCACCATTCAAGCTTTATTTGGCAATCTTCTGCAAAATCTGGAAGGCTGGATGACTAAGAGCATAGTACCATTTTCATTAAAAGCTTAACATAAGAATGGTATTTATAGACTGATTTATAATTTTCAAAGCACTCTTCACATATATTCTCTGATCTGATGCTCACAACAACCCAGGGAGCCAGGCTGTATTGTTTTTCATCCCTTTTTAGGAAACTAAGGCTTACAGAGCTTAAAGTGACTTGCTCAAGACCACCAGCTGATAAGCTGAGACAGAATTCCACCCTTTTATCATTTCCAAACTGACTCTCCACGAGCAGCAAATCAGAGAGGGGCAAATGTGGGGAGAAAAGCAAAAGCTCTAGTGATACATGGAAGCACATTGGAGGATTTGGGGGTAGAGAAACCTGCAAGAAAGCATGGCCCTTTAACAGTGCTGGGACAAGGCTAGGGTGGGCAAAACCCCTCTTTTGTCACTGAGGCATACAACTGCAGGCACTCAATGGGAAGAAAATGCTAGGCTGGCACTGACAGTGCCCCTTTGATACCCCGCTCCATAATTAACATGATCTTAGCCTGGAAGACAGCATCTCTTTCCCTTCTTTGAGCTTGTGGCTGTTATGTTATCCTGGACATTCTGGCCTCTGTTGTTGCTCTAACTACAGAGGTGGCATGGATTCCTTCACTGTTGCTTTAGGAATCCCCGAAGAGATTGTGCTAAAAGTTCTTAGTGTCAGATGGCTCAAAGGAGATTCTTGTAATGGTTCTGCTGTTGGCAAGGCATTAGGAGGAGGCCTTCAGGACACAGCCGCAAGATGTTTTATGAGCACTTCCTCACCATGTTGTGGTCCTCCTGAGATTCCAATCCAATGGGAGTATACGGGTGAAACCTGAGATCTTAAAGGGATCTTCCTTAAGACTGACGTGTACTATAGTCAGTCACTTGATCCGTGAGGCAGGTGACCCAGACAAAAGTGGCTACTACTGGGCTGTCCTCATTTGGCTACACAGTAGGATCACCTGGAGAGCTTTGGCAATCCCGGTGCCCAAGTCACAACCTATTCAAATTAAATTACACTGTCTGGGGTAAGAGCCAGATAGCAATATTTTTTAAAGAACCCAGCCGATTCCAGTGTGCAGCAAATTTTGCAACCCATGGGCTTATGATTTGTCTAACATCACACAAGTGGGGACAGGAACCTATCATTGTTCAGCTCCATTGTTTTTAGCCAAAACGGACGCTTGCCTTAAAAATGAAGGATGAGTAGATACAGCATCACTCACGACTACCCTTCAAGGTAAATACGTTTACCCCAGTTCACTGATGGAGAACCTAAGTGTTTTCATTTGTCCTGTGAGCCCTCCTTAAACGTGGAAGGAGGCACTCCTGTGGTGCTCACTCCAGTTGTCAAACATGCAGTGACATTCACTGAAGTGTTTGCAAAGGGCCTACTGTGTGCCAGCTGTGGGGATAAATGGTGAACAAGGGACACAAGGCTTTGCCCTACCAGAGCTTATAAGCTTTATGAAGGACACAAAGACCTATTTCAGCAATTCCAACACTTTAGGGTTAAGGCTGAGATGGGAACTTGTTTTATTCATTTTTAGCTGGGCCTTGTTTCTTTAGGAGGATTTGTGGCAGCAAAAACATGCATAATGAAGTTGTTAGGATGTAAATAAGAAACAGAAATCAAGACTGGGGAAAAACATAAATAAGAGTAGAGAGTCAAGAACAGAAGAAAAATTCATAGTTATGCAAGTCATAAGGATCCGCTTGGGCTGAACCTCAAATTTGGCATTAAGTGTTCTGGCAGCCATATTGAAAAGGGAACTATGGTTAGTTATTATTGTTAGAGAGACAAAAAAATACCAGTTCCTCAGGGAAGGAGAGGCTTTCTAACACTTGGCTCTTAAGGAAATGTCTCATGTGGAATTTTATACAGTCTCCAAGAATATTCCTAGAGTGACTGCAAAAGTGGGTTTTATAAGGCAGTACCCTGTAGACCCTGCAAGGAAAGGGAGCACATGAAACAAAAATGCAATTTAATAAACCCATTTTTGTCATGAGTAGTCAGTCAGAAGTAAGTTGATTCAGGTCACATATACGTCCATATAAATCAATGGCTAGAATACCTGGGGAAGTGCATGGATTCGACACCCTTCATAATTTTTCTTTCTTGGGATTTTGATAAGGCACATAGATAAAATATTTTTCTGGGGTAGAGTTGAAGACTAAGTATTCCATGTTGTGGATAATGTAAGGGTTTATACCAGGGGATAGCAAACATTTTCTGTAAAAGATAGTAAATATTTTAGCTGCTCTGGGCCAGATAGTATCTGTCATATAGATTCAACTCTGCAGTTATAACACAAAAGCAGCCCTAGAGAATACATAAGGCAACAGGGCTGGCTGTGTTCCCATGAAACCTGATTTATACAAATAGCTGGCAGGTCGAATTTGGCTGACAAACTATATTGCCAACCCCTGGGTTAATCTGAAAATTTAAAAAAAGCTAAATGTATGATTGGTACGCTTTTGTTGGAATTACAGAACATTTAGAAACTTGGCAAGTCTTGCTCAGTGGTGACTCTGGCCTTGTAACTTAATTGAAAGTAGGTGATGATGCATGCTGGAGCGAAAATGGCTCGTGTTCAGGGTGCACATTCATTAAGTTCATTGAAAGAACATGCAGACACCAAAGCAAGCCAGTACATCTTTGCACACCATAGTGACACTCAATGGACAGGGAACTGGGGTTAATGGAGCACAGAACTGGGCTGGGTCTAGAACTTTTGTCCTGTCATGTGGAGGAGAACTGTGGTATTTCTCACTTGGAGGTCTCACAAAGCAACAGGGGTTCTCTGGTAGGATGTCCTGGCTGGTTCCTAAGAAAAGAGAGAGGTTGGACCATCAGCAGTATCTCATGCATGCCTTTATCATCTTTTCAAGCGCAAAATTTACTCCAGGCTACCAGATGTGGATTCTAACCAGCTTTCTAGAAGTACAGCCAAAAATATGGTGACCCACAAGGGAAAAAAAAATAACATAATTTCACTGTAAAAAAGCTTAGTTGTGAGTTGATAATACATGTTGATGGTTTGTTATGGCCTGAGTTCCTGAATGCCTCCCACTGGCTGCATACGAATCTGCGGCTATTAATTAATTATTGGTTAATCACATTCATGGTGTAATGGGAGCTATAGGAAAGGGTTGAGTTTGGGTGGTCATTGGAAGGGGTGGCCTCAAGTGGTTTGGAATCTACAAGAACAGGTGGCTTAGGGCTTCGGCCTTAAATATTGCTTTAACCAACTTTTGCACAACCCATAGTCTTGAGTGACCAATTACCTAGTCATGTGTCCCATATATGGTGACTAGGGGAGTGCAACTTATAAAGAAATAACAGCTTTAGAAGAGTTTGTAAAAACATGACCGTGGATGCAGTTATGAAACCTTTGGAGCCTCGTTGTCTGAACATAATTTGGTCTAGGACACTTACTGGGTAGTAGGGAATTGGGGCATATACTCCCTTCGGAATGTCCTAAGTAATCACTCCTCCAGCAGCAGAAGGTTCTTATTAGGAAAACGGTTGCTGCTCCTTGTAATATGGTTGCAGTGACTAGTCCAGGCTTGTGGAGAGCAAGGACTGTGTCTTTCTCTTCATATCCTCAGGGCTTAGCCCAGGACCTGATCCCCAGGGGCTATTCTAAAATATTTGCCCAGCGAATGAATCCTGGTTAGTATCATTGTATTTGCAAAACTAGTATCAGAGAGAGATGAGTTTTGTTACACAAATCGTGGCCGACATTGAATCACTCCAAAAGAGACTAAGGCTGTTGTTTTGGGATTGGAACAAAATATGCCTACAAAACTTAAAAAGCAGAAAACCATTCAGGTGGAATATAGTGGCCCCCACCCCACCCCAGCAGATATGGGGGTAGGGTAAGGGATTGGCAGTCAGATTTATATGGCAGGTATATTTTTAATCATGGCTTATTCTTAACAACCATGATTTGAGGCCAGACGAGTTTTAAGGGCAAATTTCTTAGGGAAAATGTCTGATGTCAAAGTTGCCTGGGACTTCTCCTTTTTCAGAAATAATAAGTGACCAGACTAATTATTTTGTTTCCTCTACTTCTTTCCTCTGGCCCTTGCCAATATGCTTATTTATACCAAGGGCTTTATCAGTTGTCTTAAGAAAACAAATTTCCTTCGACAAACGTTACAGTATAATCTTACGGTCCTATTTTTCAAATATCCCTGCCACTAATGAAAACAGATGCACAGAGAACGGAGGCCTTCTGGGCCAAAAACACATTAATAATTCTGCAGCTCTGCCCCCCACCACCCTGGTGGCCAGGTGGGAGAGTAAGAAGGAAGGACAGAGTTAAGGGGATGGGGTTGTACGCAGGAAGCCCAGAACCCAGCGGAGGCTCCAGACCTGAGCATGTCATTGTAGGCTTTGGTTGCTACAAGAGAATGTGGGCCCAAAGAAAGAATCAAGAGAGATGAACTTAAAGCAAAGCCTAGTATCACGTGGGGGTAAGCTTAACACAGGCAGTTTGCTTTACCGTAATAGAGAAATCGCCTACTCCCACGGCATCCGGCAGGTTTCTAAGGGACAAACTTTGGACCCAGGGACATTTATTAAGTATCATCCCCTCCTTGTCCCTCCACCTCTCTCTGGCTCCCACATCTCCTGACCAAAGGAACTTGAGCATCTGTTCATAGTTTTGCCCTGAAGTCTCCCCCAACATTAACCACACGTGGGTATTAATTGTTACTACCTGTGTATCCCTTTATTCACTGATCCATTCTGATCCATTCTGGGTGTTCTTGGTCTCAGGGCCTGAGGATCATTTTCTCAGATGCATCACGGCTCATCTTCCGGCTCAGTTCCTCCAGCGGTGTGCGGGCCACCATCAGACTGTATGCTGAGAGCTACGAGAGGGACCCCAGTGGTCATGACCAGGAGCCCCAGGTACCCTCCGCACTGTGTGTCTCATCGTTCCTGGAAAATTTAGGGAGCCCTTGTGGGCCTTTAGTGGGGGTGATTTTACTTTCTGGAATCACAGTTCCATATTGATAGATGCAGCTGAAGGACGAGTTTACGGTAACTGCAGACAAAATTTCACTCACTCGTGACAGTGTTTGGAACAGAAAATTTGGGCTCTAGCCTCTATGATGAGTTTAGACCAGGATTTCCCAAGTGAATTGCCTTTCTTGACTGTTCTATAGTTTGTTGAATTGGGGTGACCTCAAGAAAAAGCACCTTGTATAGATAGAGAAATGTTTAGTTAGAGTCAAGCTGGTCCAACTCCTCAGAGCCTTGACTCTGCGCATGTAAATAATGAATCTCCAGGTGTTTGGCAAACTCTGGGTTGGACTGTGACCTTGAGGTGCAAGTGTAGATGCTACGCAGGCCCTCCTGTCTGAGATTGCTGCAGAGCCCAGTTTCTCTTAAGAAGAGGGGCGAGGGCTGGTCTGCATTTAAAGGTAAGGGAGACTAAGCTAGATCAGCCAAGGCTGGGCCACCCTGTGTTTGGCAAAGCCCCTTCATGTTGTCAACAATAGGGCTAATTAAGAACTCAGAAAAAATTACAAATAGCTTAACCATAGGCATCCTCACTCTTACATTCATTAAAGCTGCAGGCAACATTAATTAATAGCAGAAAGACCCACCATAATGTTGGATACTTTCAGCTACACCGCGGGCTGTCCCTTGCCCCCTTGGTCTTTACTTCACCCTGGGTTTTGAAGCAGAGTCCTTGATGAGGTGATTCCTTGAGATGAACTAGTGGTTCCAGCTGCAGAGCTGCCTTTGTGGAGAAGTAGAGAAGCAAAGAAAAACTTACTGCCTCTCATTTTAGAGTTATTCCAAATTTCCAATGATAATTTGCCAAAGTTATGCCCTAGAATGAGACCCAGAAAGGGTTTTCTTTCTTTCTTAGTGGTTTAGTGTTTTTCTTAAAATGGTATCTTTCTTTGGAGAGTCTCAAAGAACTTGATAAGTATGGTGCCATGGATCCTTATAGCTGATGATGGAACCAGAAGATCTGTTTGGGGTCAAATCATCTCAGATGGGGAAGTAGAGGTCTGGGAGGCTGAGAGCTAAGAACATGAAGCTAATATAAGGTCCTTGGCCCTTTCCGGTCAGGATCACAGGCTTTCCATGCAAGGACGGGCCACGCCCTGCCAACATAATTTGTCAGTGAGTACATTTCACCCAAGATAGTACCAAATCATGCAAGAATTGGAGGCTTACCCTCTCTTTCCATATAAAACCCTTCTACTTTTCATGTTGGGAAAGGAGATTAAAGCAAGGTCCTAAAACTCCAGAGCTACATACAGGGTGAGGAATGATATTCCTGGCTTTACCAACTCTGACTCACTCTGACTCGAGGCTATTTTTTCTCAACATTCTTTTCCCTATTTGCACAGAGTAAGTAGTTATGATAAGTAGTAATGATACTTGCTTATTTGTATTTACCTTCCACACTGACTGCAGGAGTGTGACATCTGGGCCTTTAGACATGTGTGAAAACAATCCTGTGCACAAGTGAGTCTCTCTCTGAAGTGTTCCATAACAGCAAAGTGGTGCCACTTTTTTTTTCAGAGCTTCCTTTGAAGCTGAAAACCTCCATAGGCCTGCTGCTAGAAGGTTGTGTGTGAAGTATTGCTTCAGTCTGTGGGTACAGAAAACATAAGTAATGCTTGTTTCAGTGGCCAGTACTGTTTATTTTCCATCCTGTTGGTTCAAAGAGTTTGCCATTTTGAGTGGTTGAGGAATCCTTTTGTTGATCATGTTCTTCTGATCAATAATCTGCCTTCCCTTTTTAACTATGAGCGAGGGTCTTCCACAACCTGGCTAGGTGGGCCTCACTGTGTTTAGCTCAGGATCCAGCTCAAAATTTTACATTAAGCTAGAATTCCTTATTAAAATCCCTTATATCATTGACTCACCAACTGAAGCCCTATTGCATAATACATGTAAGTCAAGGTATGATTTAGAATAAGGTTTGAAAAGACATCTACACCCCTAAGGAAGAGGAAGAAGACCCTCAGTAGACTCACCTGTCTCAACACTGCTGAATCACACCTAGGCACTTCAGTTTGACTGTTCGGGGCCTCCCTACAGCATTGCCTCCCAGGACCCCAGCTTCTGCCTTTGAAGAGCTCTGGAAGGAAAAGCCTTTGGTCAACTGTTAACAGAGATCAAAGATACAGCATGCTACTGGGAGGTTATTACTGATCTGTGGCCTGATGGGGAAAGACCAGCTGTGTTGCTTCCTCAACTGCAGAGACCTCTTCCTCCTTTCTAGCTTGTTCCCATTTGCAGCCCAGAACACAGAACAAATACCCATTCCCCCCCAGACACCCAGTAAAGTACCTCTTGAATGTGTAGAGAATCCACTGATAAACTTGTCCAATTCAACAGGTATTCATGTTTTACCTGCCTTAACTCAATACCCACCTACATTCCAGTCAATAGCATAAGGACTAGAGAGTTCTCTTCAACTGGCTTCTCAGCATCTGGCTATTGTACTTTGCATGAAGAGTTTCTTGTCCATACATCTTTTTTAAAGTTTTTATTTAAGTTCCAGTTAACATGCAGTGTTATATTAGTTTCAATACACTGTATACAATATAGTGATTTAACAAATCCATGCATCACCTGGGGCTCATCACAACTGCCCTCCTTCATCCCCATCACCTATTTCCCCCATCCCCCTCCCTCCTTCCCTTCTGGTAACCATCAGTTTGTTCTTTATAGTTAAGAGTCTGTTTCTTGATTTGCTCCTTTCTTTCCTTTTTTTTTTTTGTCCCTTTGCTGCTTTGTTTTGCTTCTTAAATTCTACATATAAATGAAATCATGTAGTATTTGTCTCTCTTTGACTGACTTATTTCATTTAGCATGATACTCTCTAGCTCCATATATGTCATTGCAAATGGCAAGATTTCATTCTTTTTTATGGCTGAGTAATATTCCTCTGTGTGTGTGTGTATGTGTGTGTGTGTATACCACAACTTCTTTATCCATTTATCAGTCAGTAGACACTTTGGTCCAGACATTTTAAACACATGGGAACAGAACATGTTTTAAATATTAATACTGTGGTTGCCTCATAAAAGTGTTTGTAACCATCCTGGGGATGCAGCTAGGAAAATCTGTGGTATAGTCTCTGTGCGGAAAAGTCCCTGCTCCTGCCTGTAGATTTATTTGGGTCCATTTTTACAACAGTTATTATGGTATTTGTTTTAAATGATTTAAAATAATTTAATTACATCAAAAAATATTTTTAAAGAATTCTGTTCATCTACCTCTAGGAATGGGTGGTGAAGGGAGGAAGAAGATGAGGGGCTCTGGAGAGAGGAGAAGGTGCTTGCCTTGCCCTTGCTCTGTGTTCTTGGTTAATCAGGAAGGAAAGCCTTCAAGACCCGTTTCTGGAAGATCACATAGTTTTGAAAATACAAGATTACTTTAAATTTACTGGCAATCAGTAGACCTTCAACAAGCCCTCAAACCAGCTGGTAATAATTTTGGAAAAAGGGATGAGCCAAAAGGATTTAGGTTCACAGGTGACCAGAAACAGTCCCATTGTTTTTTCACTTTGTTTCCCACCAAGCTTATTAGCAGAACTGCTCAGTTAACTTTTTATTTACCTTCTCTCCTTTTCCCTTTGAACCTGAGGATGGAGTAACTCATAAACAATAAAAGATCCGAAATGAAAAGGAAGAAGTTTTGTTAAGGGCTGGATAATCACATCCTGATAATGAACTTGTGGCTAATCAACAGTTGGCTTTGCTACTTTAATTGCAGAATAAAACCGCACCCTATCCCACCCCAAGTTTTGGAAGGAGACCAGTTTTCCCCGACCCTCCTTACAGTTGAGGGAATTTATGTATTTCTGATAGTCTGTATGTAGACTGCTTTAAGGACCAATTATCTAAGCACCAGGAGTCATATAGGGAATTCATCTGTCCAGCCAAGAGCTGGCGGCCGTTTTGCTCTACGTGTTCTTATTATGACTTTATAATCCAGAAATGTTAAGTACAGAGCCATTTTGTGTTACATTGGGAGAATATAATTTTTCACCTAAACCAGGATACATCTGAGAGTGAAAGGGGGCACTAATAACAATTATGTTGAGACTGCCCCAAATAAAGCAGAACTTGGGTTACTCTAGTTACATACCTTCATGCTACCCTAGATCTGACCATCTCTTTAGAGATGGGCTTCTGAGGGCACTAGCAGCATAAGCCTAGTAGTACAGAGGGAATGTGCCAGGAACGAGGAGTTGGATCCGTGGTTCCAGCCCAGGCTACACACCAGGACCATTTGGGGCTTTGGTAAAGATACCTGGGCCTGGGCCTCACTCCCAGAGATTCTACCTTAATTGTTCCAGGGTGGGGACTGCATTTTTGAACAGTTTCCCAGATGGTTCAAATTAGGTGAGTGCTCCCAAACTTTAGGGTTTATTTAAATCACCTGGGGATCTTGCTAAAAATGCAGATTCTGACTCGGTCTGATGAAGGCCAGAGAGTCTGCATTTCTCACAAACTCCCAGGCAATATTGTGTTGCTGGTCCAGCAGCCACACTTTGAATAGCAAAGAGTTAGATCAACTGCTAAGCCTTAAAGACAAGTCATTGAATTCTTTAACTTTGTAAGCAGTGCAACACCTGCTTTTAGTGCCCTTGTGTGCATGGGCCACCATCCTCTGGATTTCTCTCTCCGGGAACCCACCCAACTTGACTTAGGCAAAAGTGACCTCCTGTCAGCCTCCCCCTGTTCCTCCTCCCTCCAGAAGACCCCTGCTTCTTTCAGCGTCTTCAGCTCAGGAAGGGGCAGGTTCAGCCAAAAACCTAGGAATCCTCCTTGACTCTTTTTTGTTTCCTTTATATCATATCCCATCTCCAACAGCAAACCCTTCAAAGCACAACCAGAGTCTGGCCCCACCTTGCCACCTCTACCATTTCT